GAGCATGAAACTGAGCAAACTCAGCGAGGCAGTGAAGGACAGGAAGGCCTGGCGCAATATGGTTCATGGGGTCACGAAGAGTCGGACACGACTTAACGACTGAACAGCAACAAAAGAAAACATCTGCCTGCCTGCCTGCCCAACATATTGGCTTTGGATTCTGGAGCCCTGAGCATTCATTTCAGTCACCGAGTAAGTCTACTGCAACATGTGGCTTCACACACTGCACCACTTTGGCCCATCTAAGCTCTGGCATTTACACCATCCCAATCAGGAGCTACACGTGTCACTCGCTCCCCACATAGAGGTGCCCAACAAGAAACCAAGAGCTTCATCCAAGGCTCCCCTCGCAAGCAGCCTCTTGACAGGCCAGCAGGAAAGCCCTGTTGATGCTGTATCCTGAACACTGATGCGGATGGTCTTTCCCTAAACGTCTTTTTCCAAGATAGGCTGAAAAACCTTGCAGCAGTATTTTGAAGAAATGCAACTTTTAGACAAAGAAAAGGAGAAACACCCAGTTTGCTCATCTGCCCCACCTGCTCACCACAAGAGGAACCAGTTAGAAGGGTCACTCTCCACATTGGATCAGCTCATTTTGCCATTTTTACTCCACCAGTTTTTTAAGGATGGAAGAAAAGCGCTGCGACTCGAGGGGGAAACAGCAGACCCATATGTCTTTGCAACTGAACAAGAAGCAAAAACCTGGCCACTACACGCCAGGAGAATCAAGATTTCATGGAAGCCAAAGCTCCACGCTTTTGCAGAACCACAGCAGGGGTCCCATTTTGCTAGGGAGCCATCATGTTTGACGTAGGAAGCCTCATGCTGGATCAGACCAAAGAGCTTCTGCTGGAGCATGATGTCCCAGAACGATCATCCAGAAGTAGTCTTCAGCTGCTAAAGGTTGCTAAGCTGTGTCCTGTGCCATTTGCACAAACAGGGCACAAATCGAGTGCTCCTCGTGCCTTGGATGCTGGAAGCCATTTCCGAGGCAGACAGCCTACACTAACCAGAGATTCCCGACTGCCATGGGGAAAGGGTCAGAGTGAGGCCAGCAGGAAGAAGCCTGTATTGCGCCGATCGCCATCCTCTGCTATCACATAAGGCAAAGGCAACAACATGGTCACCTCTTTCCTTCATGAGATGCCGACACCTTGTTGCCCACCGTGGCGCGGAAGAAAGGTACCTGTTTCCAGGTCGAGGAGGGCTAGGAAGGCAGGGCTCCCGATGACGAGGCAGGCTGGAGAGCCACCGTGCTCCGCCGAGCAGTCCACCAGCAGGAGATCTTCAGCCACGGGCCTTTCCCATAGCGTGCTGCCGTTAGTGCCCGAATGCGCGGCCAGAAAGGCGCAGGGGGAGGCAAAGCCTGCGGAGAAGGGGCAGGAGGAAGGGGCGCCCATCACGCCGGCCGCGCCCC